ACAAATCTGAAGCTAAGCCATCCGCCATTCGCAGCAGTTTTTGGACTCATTCAAAAGAATTAGACGAAACTCAAATCTCGATTTGCTCGCATTAAGTTTATTGGTGAAAAATGATTTGTTATTTGGGTTACGTAAAAAAGGGATTCATTCCATTGGTAGGTAATACGATTAACTGGCAATTGAGTTAGCTCTCTACGCGCAAGGCATTGCTGATGAATGTGAGGGCGCTTCGCTGGTCCGCCGTGAGGGCGGCGGCACCTAGGCGCTTCTGTAGCAGGGAACTGCAGGTGAAGAGTGGCGTCGCCTGCTCGGGCACAATGCGATAGGCGACACGCCGCCAGGTGCTGCTGACCACGTCCAGATGCGATTCGAGCGCATCGCGACAGGGCGCCAGATCGTCGGCGCGCGCTCGTTCGATCATGTGGGCCATGGCCAGGCAGAGCTGTTGCTGTAGTCCGTCGCGATGGTTGTACTCCTCGAAGGAGTCTAGAGCATTGGATCGTTCGATGGCCGCCAATAGCGAGCGCCACATGCTGGCATAATGCACGCCCATGTCCGCCCTATGCTCGATCTGTAGCAACACGGCGGTGGCATTGATGCGCACCTTGAAGTTCGCGTGCTGCACAATCAGCTGGCTGAGCGCCGCGAACAGCGTGTCCGCCAATTTGGCGCTCGTTGAGAATATTGCACGATTGCGCACCAGGTTGCCAATGGCATAGCAGGCATTCCACTTGACTTTGGCGCTGCCCGCAGCGCGCGCACAATCCAACAGCTTGGCCATGGCCCGCTGCATGAGCGCGTGCTCCTCGCCGGACAGCAGCCGCAGCAGATTGCCCATGGCACGCACCCCATTGGCGCGGACCTTGTCGTGGTCGCCACAGGCGAGAATAGCCGCTTCGATAAGGCGCCCGAGCAGTGCCTGCGAGATGCGCTCCTTCTCACGGGGCTCCTCCGGTCGTTCGGGCTGCACTAGTGCATCGCTTATGTTGCCCAGCGACCAGGCGGCCTTGATCCGCACAGCCAGCTGAGCGTCGCCTATAAGTTGCAGCGCTAGCTCTGCCGCATGCTCCACAAACACCAAATCATCGCGCATCGTCGGATGCAACACGTAAACAGCGAGCGCCCGCACGGCCGCTGCTCGCACCAGGCTGTCCGCTGCATCGTCGCTGCTGCAGCCCAAGAGGAAGGCCAGCAGCCCGGTGCGCTGCGCCTGGGGCAGGCGCTCGAAGCAGTAGCCGCCTATGTTGGAGAGTGCATCGCATAAGGAACACCGCAGCGTGGCCGTCTCGGCATTGGAATAAGCATCATAGATCGTAGGCAGCAGGCGTAGCCAGAAGCTCAAATGCTGCTGCTGTTGCTCAGGTCTGGGCTCTGTCTGCTCCAAGGCAAGGCGGGCCATTTGGAAGCCAATGGCGTCCAAGGCTCTTGCCCCATAGAGACGCACATCCCACGAGCTGTCCTGCAGGGCATTGCACAGCACATCGGCCAGGCGCGCCAGATGCTCGCGCAACAGGCCAAAGTGTGTGGTCATGGCCAGCAGCACCTGCAGACACTCGACGCGCAGCGGCGACGCGCTCATCGGACAGTCCAGATAGCGCAGCACGAGGCGCAGCAGCCACGAGTTGCGTGGAATGCGACCCTGCGGCAAAACAATGGGAGTTTTCTCAGCTGCAGCTGATTTTGCTGCCATAGGTGAGCCCTGCTCCTCCTCCTCCTCGTGCTCCTCCTCTATCTCTTCCTTCGGCTCCTCTTCATCCTCAAACTCCTCTGCATCGGAGTCGTAAAGTAATTCAAATTGTTGCACCTGCTCCTGATGGGCATTGTGGCGCGGCGATGCGTGCAACATGTTGACAGCGCGTCGCTCCTTCAGCGGCAAACCCACAGCGCAGGCCATTTCCTGGGTCAGTCGTGGCGTGGCCACCAGCATTTCCATGACCAGCAGTGCGGACACCTTGACGCTGGTGTCGGCATGCCGCGTCAATATTTTGACGTGTGGCACAAACTCATAGACGATGCCCATTTGCAGTTGCTCGAACGGAGTAGCCTGCACCAGAACCGCCAGGCACTTGAGGCACTGCGTCAGCACCGGCGGCACAAATTCGCGCTCCAGTATGCCGGCTAGCTGGCGATACGCCTCCATGACGCTGTTAGCCAGACTCATCGCAAACGGTGTGTAGTTGCTCGGCGCCAGGGCGCAGCTAGCCTGGCTGAGATAAGGCTTGGAGCCGTACAACACCTGTGCAGCCAGCTGCAGTGCCAGGGCGCGACAGCGTACGTTGCCATCACTGGCGCCAATGTACAGCAGGTGATCTCTATTATCGCGTCCGCCGGCTGCACCGCCATCGCCGCCGCCACTCGGGAAGAGCACATGCCAGTAGCCATAGAGGGTGCGGCGGGGCAGCTGCTTGGTGACGGCGCCCATCAGCTGCAGTGCTGCAATGCGCAGCTTCACCTGGCGCTGGCGCTGCTGTTTCTGGCCTGCCACCTGTGGCCCGGCGCCGTCTGAGCTGGGCGTGCAGCCGCCCTCAGAGTCGCCGCTCGGCGTACGACAGCCGTACTCATTGTTACCCAGCAACAGCAGCTTCATCCGATCTTCGTGTCCCGGAGCGTTGCTGGCGCCTTTGTTTTCTTGGAGATTGTTATTGTTATTGCAATTGCCATTCCGTTGCTTAGTCAGCGAACGCATCTTACGCGACTTGACGCGCCTGCCGGTAGCAGCTGTATTCTGATTGCTAGCAGCCGTGTCCACGTCCCCATCGTCATGCCCATAGATGGCCGATTGCTGGGCGGGATGCACCCGATGTGGCAATTGATATGCCGCCTTCGCCGTCGCGCCACCATCTGCCCTGCATCGCACGTTGGCCAGGGCGAGGCCTAATAGTTCCGGCGCATACTGTATGGCATAGTCCGCATGGTGGCTGGCTATCTTCTGAAGCAGCTGCAGTGAGTGGGCCAGCAACATCGTTAGCTCCTCCTGCTCCTGCTGTGCATGCGGCTGAGTGTCACCTGCTGTTGCTATCTCTGCCAAGCGTCCATCGTAGTGCATCTGCAGCAGTGAATTGCCCAGCTGGCTGCTTAGCTGTAGCTCCTTAGTCTGCTGTTCGCTATTTGGCGTGCAGAACATGCTGAACAGTCTGTCTTGGAAGAGCACCAATAGCAACGTCGCCTCCACGCTGCGCGGGTATGGAATGGCAACGAAACGTGGGAGATATTTGAGCGCGCCGGTCACTGGCAGTGATTCCACTAGCGGGAGCAGGCAGCGCACCGCATCCACTGTGCATTTCTGCTCCACTCGTTGCAGGAGCCACTCCAGAATCGGCTTCGTCTCACCGAGCTGTTGTTTTCGGTTCACGAGCAGCTCGTTCAGCCAGACCAGCCATGCGTCCAGGTTAACTGAGTCATCGCCCTGCCCACTGGCCGCCAGCGCCTCCTCTGCCAACAGATGTGCAAGCTGCGCCGCCGTGCTCGCGCCATATGGCCCTGCGGGCGTCTGGCTCTCGATGTTGCGCAGGAACTGCAATTGACGCTGATAGAGGCATGCATCCGCTGCAGAGGAGCATCGCGCTCGATTATTTACTGTTTGTAAGAGCGCATCATAGGCTTTCCTCTCCTTGTCCATTAAATAGAACTGTTCATATGCTTTGAGATATGGTAACAGCATATCGATATATCGATATCACGAGCGAATTTTTTATTTTCAGTTGAGCACTGGAACGGGATCAATTTAATATTTTTTCTTTTTATACTTAAATGTGACAGCAAGGCACCATTGATACAAAAACAGATTTTATAACACAGCCCCGAGCTTATGTTTTATTGCAAAATATGTGTCAACGCCTGCTTTTATCATGTTTCCCCTGTCAATGAAAAGCATAAACAACTCATAGTATATCTATGCTGTCCTTATTTCCCTTTCGCTATCGATAGTAACTAGTGGTAGTGCCGATAGTAGATTTGCGATAATATTGGTGATCATAGTCTTTGGCATTTTACAGCACTGCTAAAACATTTGGCGCGCTTTGGCATATTCAAATTGTTTTGAAGTAATTAATCACTTGACTTATATGATTTGTGTAAATATATGTATATCATAACCAACAGAAAAAAACGAATAATCATTTTTATATTCGAAGACATTTTAATGGCAAAAACATAAAATRCAAATACCCATATTCCAAATAAATAAATGCCCATTAAAACAATATGCAATGTTGATTGATCTCTCATACCAGGAATATATTTATTGTATAGATTCATAGATATATCTAGTATGTGTATACGTAGTATATATATATATATAATATTTAAGTAATTTTACAAATGTATAATTCATTTCATGCCTTTGTAATATATAAATTCTGCTCAGCAATAATTCATTGTATAATCCACTTCGGAATTCGCCAAACATCCAAAAACAATTGTGTATACAAGTTAAGTGCGTTAACCACGAACCAATGAATTCGTTTTGCACCCCATAGCAATCATACACCGCCGATAGACAGCACCAATGCGGTCTGCATAAGTATTCCCTGAGCAATTATCTACTTAGTAACATAACACGCTGAACAACAGACTGGCTAACTAACACCTTCACTCAAACATTGGCTCGCGTTAAGCTTATGTTCGTTCTATAACTATAATTATATTTGCAATATATTATATATCATACATAGGTCTTTATATAACTATTTAGGCGGGCTTCCAGTATTTTGAAAGGCGTTGAATTTAATCGTCAAAGTTGAAGTTCAAGTTCTACTATTGGAGTTTGTACACTTTGTTAGTCTTTAAAGCACACATTGTCATATGTGAGCTAGTTATATGTTATATATAGAAAAAAATAAATATATATATATATATGTGTATAGGTGTTTGGTCTACCTACAAGAAAATCGGTCATTTATATACGTATAGATTTATGTATATATATATGAACGTTCTTATATTATATATGATTTGAGAATTAATAATTTCCATTCCAATCTTTGGCAAGACCGCAGATGTTGATCACAAGATACGTTTTCATTATCGAATATCTTCAGAATCCGTTACCTTATTCTAACAAATTTTATAACTTACTACATCTAGAACTACAGCTATCGTACAATATATAAATCCGTTTGCAAAACTCAACTCATACCACACAAAAACAAATTAATTAAATACTATAAAGTTTGTACAAAATTTGGCTAATTTTGGAGCAGTAACTTATATGGGTTGTTGGTAGGAAGGAATACATTCAGTTATCTCAAAAACTATCATTACAAAAAAAATATTTAAAAAAAAAAAAAAAACAACTTCAAAAATAAAATACGTAATCAAATAGAGTTTTGGTGGGTCACCATCTACCATTAATGGAACCGTTGGTCAGTTAGTTAAGTACATTCAACGATAAGGTCCTTGGAGCCGTGAGCCGTGAGCTATGCCCATACCTAGCATTAACTTAGCTACTAGTTTGTAAATGATTGGAGTCATTCGGATATAAGTTTACTAAAATCGCATAATAATGACAGCCGGCGGCGAGCACCACGAACAGATGCCAAATGGCGTGCGCCATGGGAATCAGACCATCTGACTTAAAGAATATAATGCCCAGTATATAGAAGGCACCGCCGAACTTCAACTGCAACATGCCATTGAAATTATGTCCCGTGAGCATGACAACGAGCGCCGGACCCAGGCCCATGACAATATAGAAGAAGGTCTCCAGACATTTGTAGCGTTCGTGGTAGAGCTGTAAGTAAACGAAACCGCAAGACAAGGCCAAAATGAAGATGAAGATGAAATGAAGCTCGATCGATTGAGAAACGCTCGCATCTTATCTTACTTGTTGGTAAGCAATCCCAATTGCAGCCATTAGCCAAATAATCCATTCCATGCAGAAGAGTATAGCAGAATGGTCGGTATTCTCCAGCGTCAGCCAGGGAAAATATGAGCCGGCAATAAACACATAGATCATGGCACGATCGCAACGATGCAAGACATTCTTTAGACCCTGATACGTCTGCCAGCCGAATGTGGGCCAAGCATTGTAGTTTTTTGGCGGTCTGAAGAAATAAACTGTGTAGAAAGTGGAACAGGTTAGCTATATATTTTGGCGAAACTCACTTATGTTCGGCACAGTAGCAAGAGCAGTGAAAAAATGTGGAAACTGTGAACAGCATACAGAGCGTGGTGCCATAGACCCATGAGACTAAATATTGGCTATAGCTGTTGGATCGCTCAAAGAGCTTGATGACGGCAAAAACGGCGGGAACTATCCAAATGCCATGGGTGATAACATTTGCCACTTGTTCGATCTTTAAAAGGAAATCAATTTGAATATATAGATATATATGTATATATTTATATTTACATACAAATTCCTATGTATGTTTCTTAGGTTTATTTAATATGGCTTACTTCTGTGGGTTGGTAGGCGCAGCCGGGCTTTGCTTTGGCATTCTTCCACTGAATATTTCGCAGTTGGAGCTTGAGCTTTAGATTCGATCGAATAATGCATTTCCATACGTGACTGAATAGATTATCCAGAAATGAGTATTTGTTTTGTATATCCTGCAGTAGATTATTCATCGTCCGCTCTCAGCTCGCTCTGCAGCTGGCCCCGTTCGCTGCACTGTGGATTGCTTTCAGCAGCTGGTTCTGTCGATTATTGTTATTTAAATACCATTCGCTTTGATTCTACACATATTTTGTTTATGTATATTGATATATCGCTCGATTGTAATAGGCCCAATGATTGACACTGGAGCCTGATAAGGTAGCCAAACCCCAATCCCCTTTATGATAGATAGATAGCGCAATATACCATTATATTATTGGACTTTTTATGTTTATAGCTCAATTGGTTTGCTGTGTTTACCTTATCGAACTTGTCGCGACGATGTCGAATTGATTCCGGATTAGCTAAGCGAAATTTGATAAGCCCTATCTGTTGTCTACCCTTACCAATCTAGCTGCCTAATTAATTTGTTAACAAAGAAATTGTTCAATTCACTTCAAATTGGCAAAGTGTTTGGTTGCATATGTTATCAAACAAAATTAATTCAAAGAGAAATTACAAATAAAAATAGAATCAGTTTGAATATTCAAAAATGTGTACTTATGCAATATTATGGTGTATATTATATTAAATTTAAAAACTTGAATTCAAAGAATTGCATAATTTGACAATAATAGTTTAATCAAGGAAATATTAAAATTCTTTTACTCATTGTTTGTTGTGACAAAATTCACAATTTTCGTTTTTTTTTGTTGGCCATTATTTGTGATGATAAGCTTAGTTCACTGATTTAATCAGCTGGAGCATTAGGTTAAATACGTCGTTTAAAGCGTGTAGATTTAGCAAACATTTGTGCATATATCACGATGCATATATAATTATATAGTTGCTACAATACTATATATGTATGTATATGCTTCAAATGCATTATATTCAATCGTCGTCGTCTTATCAAGGCGACTAGCGTGAGAGTGGTACGACAAGCTGAGATACTATTTAATAACGACTCAAAGTCCAATCTATCGAAACGTCGGAGCAACGAAGTGCGCCTTAAAGCCTTGCATTTGTCTACAGATTGCATTGAATAGATTGATGAACAATTGTACATATACACATACATATATGAATATATATGAAGCTTATACGTAGAGTCGATATTTGCTCCAAGGTCAGGCGCAGCCAGTGCCATCCACTTTTGCTGCTTGCATGCTGTTAAGTGGGTGGAATCTACTCTTGCGTCCCACAAATAAAAGCACGAAACAAATATAATACTAATAAAAGCAACAACAACGAGAACGAGAACTGGGAACCTGTGCTTCTTGTTTCCCGCTGGCAGCCAGTGTATCTGAGCTAATTTATTACATTTGAGTTTAGTTCAGCCCGTTGATTATGAATTATGCATGAATAGACAAGTACACACACATACACAGACAGAGAGTCTTGCATAGCATATATGCAGCTCTATGCATATGGAATGCCTTTTGATCGACCTGCCCGGCAACAATTTCCCCATGACCAAAACCCACCCCATTTTCGATTCATTTCCTCGTTGAGCATACTAATCGCCATATAAATAGCCCAAATGACAGCAGGCGCAACGTCTACTTGTTGTTTGCTTCATTGAGGATGGGGAGACAAAGATGGACATATGCCCATATACGTCAGTCAGCATTGTTTACACTCTAAAGCTCCTAATTCAATTTGTTAGCGTCGCCAAGGTGTTGTCCACTCTTTTGTTGTTATGTATTGTACGCACGCACACAGCCACAGACACAGACACAGCGACCGACACAGACACAGACTCACACTAACACACACACACACGTTTGTTCTATTAAGCCGACAAAAGGCGACTCTTCCTGCCAAATAAGTTAGAAACACATATATATTTAAGTTTTATAGCGCGCGCAATTAAAATCCAAAAGTCATATTGCACTATTTTAGCTTACAGAATGATTTTATTGCTATTGGTTTTTTTATTTACGTTATATTTAAAGCGCTCCGCTCTATGCTGTTGTTATAGTTATTTCTGTTTGTAAACTGTAAATACATTTATGCTTTTATGCTTTTTCTTTGGGACGATTACTATGGTCATCGATGTGTAACGAAATCGATATCAATACTTTTAGTACTTCACAGGGTGACCAAATATCTCAAAACGGTCTAAAATGGTCTAATGGCACACAATGCACAATTACCAAATTTAAGAGTTTTCGCATTTGTATGTCTAATTTTTTTTAGCAACATTCATACAGTGGCCTGTGCTATATTTTACCTAAATATAGCTTAAAGTTTTTATTTTGTGTTTGTACAGCCATGTTTAAATTGACGGCGGTTAAAATGAATCCAGGGCTGCACTGCAGCCAAACTAAACCAACCAAACAATTGTAACGCATTGAGCCTTAAGCTCGGGGAATATATGAATTTTAGCTTTTAGTTTAGTTGCAAGATAGTTCAAATGTGTAAAACGAGTAGTGATTCGTTAAGCTATTGGATAATTTAAATATAATGTGAATAGCCGTTAGTATTGCAAGCTGCTATATGTGATTTGAATCATCACTGAGTGCAGGCAGAACTATCGCTAATAAACAGATGTATCGATAGCTTATCATATTTATCGGGCATATTTGGCGCCAAGTTTGAAATAATATCCAAGTAAGTGTATACGAAAAATCATTTATTGGGTAAATTTCCTTTCGTTTTTTTTTTTCGTTTTCACATGTTCACAAAAATTTTACTTTATCTTTATTTGTTTAACATTTTAGTTGGGTTTGCCATTAGATTGATGTGGGGAATGTAATGTATTCGTGGGTGTACATTTTTGATTTTTGATTTACTAATATGTTTGAGGTGTATGTGTTTAAAAGTAGTTTAATGTTTAATGTTTATTGTATTGTTGTGTGTTGTTGTTGTTGKGTTGGCTTTTCGCATTTCGCCTAAGTGTCTTTAACAATCAATTACATCGAAAAGGAAAAATGTTAGTGGACTTAATGTACGCACATGTATATAATTGTTTTCATTCGTAATTATGCTTAGATAAAGTAGACCACTGCTTGGGACTGTTTAAATAAAGTTGCCTGGACACTGTCTTTAGTTTTTTAGTAGTGTGTAATTTTGTCTACATGGCATACACAGTGGTGTGCAGGTCTTGCAAATCAATGGTTAATCTATGAAGTTTTTTTTTAATAAATTTTTAATTTTGCTTTGAATCTAAACTATGACACAACTGACACCGAGAAAGCTTTCTTATGGATAA